AGGAGACCTACTGTTACGAGACAAACATGTTCCCTGACTCCCAAACGTACTTTCGGATGATTTGACGATTTATCCTCCGAACGAATTTCGATATCGTCTGTCCCCCACTTGGCGATATTTCGCGCAAAAAAACGACAGATTTTCTCCATGATGAATTCCGAGTGAAATACCAGCGAGTAATGTCGGAATAGCTCGATTAGCGGTAAAATATACAGCACAAGTGGCACACTTTCTACCGATTATATCGACGTATCGATATCGAGATCGGCGCGTAAACCGACTTAGACTAGCCACCCTTGATGGTTCGCGCAAACAGTCTCGATTTCCGGAGCGAGCACGCCCGGAAAATCGCGGCGATTCGTTATCTCCGATGCTCGTCACCGACACGTTTCCGCGGACGATCCTCCGGCGATCGCAAACGGTGGCTCGAACCAATTTCATCCCCGTAATCCGCGGAGCGGTGGATCGAGCCGGGCTTACCGCGCACGCCAGGCGAACCTTGACCCCGTCGCCTCCTCGCGAAACGTCTCGCGGAAACGAGACCGACTTTTCGCTCCGTTCCACCTTGCGGCGGTGTTTGTAAACGGAACGGCCGGTCGAGTTGAAATTCAAGCGGCGCTCCTACGCTCGATCGCCCGCGGAATAAGGATCCTATCTTATTCTCCCGCCGCCTGCTTCTCGTTTTCTTCCTTCTTCTTTCCTTCCGCTCTTATTTTCCCTTTTTCTTCCTTCCTCCCTGCTGTTTCCTCCTGCTTGCTTCGCTCATCGCCGTGCGCTAACCCCGTAACCTGCTTTCAGGCATTCCGCGTGCTCTCGGAAGTACGAGGTGTCGCGCGATACGTGGGAAATTGTTTGTTTTGCGTTCTCTTTTCTTTTTTTTTTTTAGCAATAGAGGAAAAGAATCTCTCCGGAGAAAGAAGACAGTTTTTCACTCCTGTCAGAGAGAAAGACGAAAGACAGTTGCAATCTCTTTAGACGCTGACAGGTTCTTGTAGAAAATGTTCGACGTGATCGCATTTAAATATATTGCATTTAAATATATGCATACATGATTTATGCAAATTATATAATTAGAAAAACGATTTAACGAAAGTCAGGCAAGTGAGAATTTAACGCTGGTATCTCGTAACGACAATTAAATTTATTTTTAATTATTATTATAATTATTTATAATGAGCAGACAAAGAAATAATTATAATAAATTGATACATAAATAATTATAAATAATTGTTTTAAACTGTATATTAATTAAACGATTTTTTAAACACACTAGGATATAACTGGAAGAATTTCGACATTTGTTTGACAGCCGTTGGCAGGTGGCTGTTTCGAAAACGACGCTACTTTAGACACGCGAATCTCTTCACTCGCTCTCCAGAATGTATCCTATATGTGTACTTGTTACGTGATATCGTGTAAGTCGGACATTCGACGAGCGCGAGTCTGAATGTGACTGTCGAACGACGGACACGTGCCGAGGAATTGCACGCGCATATGGCGCGTCGTGGACGGCTTTCTTCCTCCGAGGTGGGCCGTCGAAGACGTGTCCGTTCGATTCAGTCGATTTATGGTCGCCACATCCCTCTTCGCTCGAACGTGTTTCGAGTAAGCGAGCGAGATATCGGTAGAATTATTTTCTTCTTTTTTTTTCATTCAGACTGTTTGATCGAGGTCTTGGATCGAGATCTTGGTCAAGATCTGGGTTCGGAAAAGAAAATGAAAACCACAGGAGTGTGAAAGTGCAACCACCCGAAGTCGTGGATATTCGAGGCGCTTGTTTCGGAAACAATTCTACACGATCCGATCAAACACTCGGAATTTTCGAACTGAAATATATTTTCTCAGGCTCTCGATTGTAAAAGACAATGCCGGAGCATCCGAGTCGAAATTTCATTTCTACATTAAATCTAGTTTTCCACTAAATCTCCGGAGATCTTTTATTGTGTATATCGAAAATACTGCGAGCCGCATCGGGTTCACGTACCAGTAATGCGTGTCCACGAACAGCGCGTTATCCTTGGCATGTCTTCGTCTCTTCTCACCTTCTCGTGGAGCGTCGAGGACATGGGATCGCGTGGTTACGCGTCGCGCGATTCACGATTCGCGCGAGTTGAACGCACTCTCTCGGCTGTACCTTCATCGGCCTATCGCTTCTGCACGCGCTTCTTGCCGAGCCGACGGCCGACCGCGCACTGGCCCGGCTATACTTTACCTGTGCTCACCTGGCTAGCGTAGATCCTGCTAGCGGCAGATGAGAGGACCTGTTCCTTCCGGGTTCCGCGCGATCGCTCGGCTCGGTTCTCCTTCTCCACCATCTCCTCTTCGTCCGATTGTTTTGCCATCGTTCGTTCAACCTGTCGTGACTCGGCGCTGGCACACCGCTGCTCTCGAGTGTTAAATTGCCGCGAATCAGACGCTTACACTTTCCAAAGTGTTAAAAAGTAACACGACGTCATCATTCGCACCGTTGATCGTCAACGGTCTACCCAACTGGATGAAGTAACCGCTTGATTAAAGCAGTAATGAATTAAATATGAAAGAATCGAGAAGATACGATAGACAAGATTCTTTCGCCGGGAATGAAAGAAAAAACATTCCCGAGTTGGAATCTGCGAATGAAATTCTTGCCCATTATTTCGTTATAAATATCCCATATATCGCGGAAGTCTCAGGTGTCCAACGAACTTCGAAGAGATATCCGTGATGTGTGAATCCTTACGGACAGCAAATCATCGTCGCTTCGGATTCATCCAACAGCTCTGTGATAAGATGAAGTGACGTTCGCGGCGCGCACAGTCGGATGGGAGTTAACGGTAACCTAGGCCAACGCACAGTACATTGCGTTACGACGAGATACATCGACGAGTGTCGATGATTAACCCTTGAGGACGCGTGTTTCTTTATCTACGCCAGTCTGAAAAAAGTCGTCCGTCCGACATTTGGCACGCGCGGCATTATCGATGCGGAAGATTCCTTTTCTGTTCGAGATTCTATTTGAAACGCGGTTACATACAGAGGAAACGGTTTCTTTGCTTGATTTAGTACACGTTTAATCTAAATGATGCGTTATTCATGTCTGTCATCTTTATATTATCTCTCGTGCATTAAAGGGTTCTCCCGTTAATGAAGTTTACGATTAAAGGAAAATCGGATTGCGTTCCACTTGAAATATTTCTCGGTGAACCGCGATCGCGTAATAATTCCGTCGTTAGAGCACGTTGTCATTATTTTCGGTGAGGGACACAGTCGATTTACATCGAGAAACACGAGGAAATTGGCGAACGCCTCTTATCAGTCCGGGCGAAAGGAACACACGTCCGAATGACCGATGCTTTTTTCCCTTTTTTCGCGAGACGCGGTAGAGAGGAAAGAGAGAACGAAAAGCGGGGAAACGCGAGGCGCGGCACTAGTTCTAGTGGCTGTCGCGCGGCAAAAATCTAACGAACGCGTTTCGTTTCGCCGCGACACGTGTGTATCGAACGGCTCGCGAAACTGGTCCGCACCTACGAAAGACACCGTCCTTGCAACGCTCACTCGCTCGGCGCATTTCCATGCGAAACGCGTAACCGCACGCCCAGTAATCGAGATAGACAGATAAAAAAGCGTATTACATGGTAAGACGAAAATTCAGCCGGAGCCAATGACGAAATTCGCATGCAAAGCGGATCGGTCTAACGAATACTTCGTCTCGATAGGTTTCGTCGCCGGGATCGTCGTATTATGTTCGCGAAGAAGCAATATTCGCGGACGGATATCAATATACTGTTATCAAGTATCGCTCGATATGTCGCGCGAATCGTTGCGACGCGAGACCTTCTACCCACCTTGATTAATGCCCACGCGCGTCACATCGCGATTAAAATGAAAATGTGACATTTATCGAGAGCAATATATACCGATCTGCGTATCTGTACCCTTGAGAAAAGCGAAGGACATTGAAAATCATCTGTTATCGCGGCGAAAGATAATTTCCTTTTTTTCATTGTTCGAACGTGCGCCCTGATGCGTTTGAACGCCACGAAGTTAAAGAAATTTACATGAAGAAACAATAAGCCGGGTCGTTTTTCTTCATTCACTCGGTAAAAATAATTTATCGAAGGTCGGTCGCGACAAGACAAAATGCGGCGGTACGCACAGAATGAATTGACTTAGGAATCTCGCGGCCTGTTCACCGACGATGCTGCGCGGAATAACAATGTGATTTTTGCGTGGAAACGAGGTTGAAGAAAGGGGAGAACGCGCGAACAACCGAGGGAACAGGTGTCACATGGAACGCTTTTTTCACGCGCTATTTATCCCGTCGGATTAATCGAGCGAGCTGTTTCTCGAAGCCTGCCAAAAAATATGTCGTTAGTAACGATAGTTTTTAGCTTCTATCAAGTGAAGAAATGAACGGTAGGATGTTAAAAATTGGACAGTCGTTGCTTTTCGTTTAATACGATATATTTTAATGAAAAACGGCAGAGCAACGTTATGAATTTAATATTTCTGATAAGTAGATTTTTCAAGCTTTAAAATGCTTTCTGAACCACTTCGTTATCATCATTTGTGCCGAAAATACAGTTCAGTGAATTTTACCTGTTTCATATAACGGAAAATGCGGCTGACCATCTGTTCAGTCGTACTACTTGAAATAGAAGGAACATATGTTCCCGTCTTAAGTTGTATTACGATTCCAAATTTTTGTATTGAGAAGCATATAAATATATTAATGTTATCCGTAGGATCTAGCTTATTTGAACACTTTGTCACAAACATAAACGCTCTATTGCTCTGTGATCAACTTGAAACGAGCTCAATTATCCCGGTAAGGACGGTGGCGCCTCGTAGCGAATATTTCGGAACTAGTCCAATTCACATATCCAAATCTCAAACCATATTTAGCCGAGATTCGAACCGAATTTAACCGAGACTCAAACCCTTCTAAACGATTTTCTGCTCAACACCGCTAGATGGCACCAGACTGCTCATTAGCTCGCAAAAAAAAGGTCCAATAATCGTGTAGAGTCTTTTCGACTCACTGCGGCAGTTCAGGGAAATCTTTGCTGTACTATATCTATATATTCTTCGTCGATGGCTACACAGTACACGCTGTTACATCACGTGGCTTACATCAGTATCAGGTAAGAATGAGTTACTATAATAAAAATACTATTCATTTCTTATTTCTTTGTAATAAAAGGAAGTATAATTTAACACGGTAACTCAATGTTCCAGTGACTTTCAATCAATTAGTAACGGAGATAATTTGATAAAGGATGTTTTTTAACAGATTCTTCAATCTCATCAAGTCACCTTTCCAAAAAACCTCTGTATTTTCTTTCCCGTTAAAAATGACGTCGAATAAAGTAGACAAGCAAATGAAAATTGGCACGCATGATGGCACTTTCCATTGCGATGAAGTGCTTGCTTGTGTACTTTTAAAAATGTTGCCACAATACATGAATTCTACCATAGTGAGGTAAGTCATTAATAGAGACAGCATCAGAGACAAATATTCACAATTCGTGAGTATTACGTTATATTTTTAGAACTCGAAATCAGGATATCTTAGATAAATGTGACATTGTAGTGGATGTTGGTGGAATATACAATCCTTCCATCCATAGATACGACCATCATATGAGGTGAGATAATATATTTTGTAATGAAATACCTTCCTCTGTTTCTTAACATGTTACTATCCTTTCTCATATTAGAGACTTTTGTGAAACAGCTAGCACCGTCCTAAAGAAACCAAATTTCAACCGCAAGATCAAGTTAAGCAGTGCTGGATTGATCTACTGTCACTTCGGCCATGAAATACTTAGGAATATATTTCCACATATAAAGGAAGACAGAATCATTGATCAGATCTTCAAGCAAATCTATGATACTATCATTTTGGAAATTGATGCTATAGACAATGGTATACCGATGTATCCAGATCTGCTAGATCAGCCGGAACCAGAGTAGGTATTTTCACCTGTATTGCTTGTACCGACATGATTTCTGACTTACAGTACTTTTGTTTATTAGATATTATATACATACTGACTTGAGTTCGCTAGTGAAACACATGAATGAGTGGACGATCAAAAGTACGAATAATCAAGAAGCATTTGAAAACGCTATGGCTATGGTGCAGCGTGTATTCATGAGTTTTGTAACCCGCACGGAGAAAGTTTGGTTACCAGCGAGAGAAGTTGTGCAAAACGCCATAAACGGTCGATTTGAGGTAAGACATTAACGATTTCCTTCTTTATTCTCACCTCACGTATTCCCGATTGATTATTTAAATTTAAGAAAATCAATCTTGCAGATTGATCCGAGCGGAGTGATAATGGAATTGTCGAGACCGGTGCCGTGGCAGCAGCACCTGTTTCATCTGGAGAAAGAAATGGAACTTTCTCCGACGATAAAATTCGTCATTTTTCCGGGCGAAGAAAATTATCGGGTTCAGTGTGTGCCGCAAGTATTGAATAGCTTCATCTGCAGGATATTCTTGCCGAGTGAGTGGGGCGGTTTGCGTGATGACGCGCTCGTGGCAGCCTGCGGAATCGAAGGCGCCAAGTTTGTGCATGCCACTTTATTCATCGGTGGACACAAGACCAGAGATGGCGCCTTAGCTATGGCTGTGGCAGCCTATGAGTCTGGGAAGCTCTCGAGACCACTCGAGGAATGTCCATGTTCTGACGACTAGCAGGGTTCCTACCTGACAATTTCTAGCTGCTTTGTCGACCTTTCTTCTTACACTCTGGGTCGTGAAAGTTAGGAAATTTAAACTTTTTATATTTATATATACATAAACTCAAATATTATGAGTGTGACGAGACATGAAATAATGAATTGCATAATACACAGTCGTCAAGACTTGAATCATGATACGTTTACTGACGCTATGACGAATAGCAGGATAGGAGACAGTTTTTAAGTGTGCCGTCGATATCTTACACTCTGGATCATGAATTAGGAAATTTAATTTTTCATGTTCATGTGTAAAAACTAAGTTATTATGAATGTAACGAAACGTGGAAGAATAAATCGTACAATATACATTCGTCAATACTCTTAAAACATGATACGTTTATTGGTATAACTTGCTCCTCACATCAGATCCATACAAAATGACACGGAGTGCGCGTCTCCCCGCACACGGTCCTTCGCTGGCCAAATTAAGACAGGTTCGAAACAGAGACGAACTCGTGATCGATCCGCGGCGGATTGGTTCGGGATATTTCCTCGGGTCGTCAGTTAACACTTTGAGCGGATATGGCTAAGTGCTTGGCCTTTGCCAGCGCCACTTCGGGGGTATCTATCACTCTGCCGTCGGGTCCAAGAGGGGCGTAACCGTAAGAATAAGGCCACGAAGTACTCAGGGCACCGTAGGGAAGTCCGACTGTCTTGACAGCTTCCTGCGACATAAATCATTGTTAGTATGCTGATGCGAATAGCATGGCTACGTTGAAATAAAAAGATATATCTATAAAGTGACCATTGCAGTCGATCGAGCACATCTGTAAAATAGTCGGAATCTTTTATTTTTGCTCTGACAATCAATAAAAGTAGCTGTAAAATTAATATGACAAGATCATGAAAAAAGAAAGATTAAAACGATAGGTAATATCGTATTTGTAATCGCTTCGAGAACCGTTTTATACAGTGAAATTCTCGTCGATCCATAGAGCGACGTAGCATTATGTCAATCGACCTCGATTCACAAAAGCGGAAGGATACGATGCTACGTTACCGGTGACAAAAAGGTCAAATAAGTTGTTTCTAATGCGTATTGTAGCTCGGTTCAACGAGTAGAGTTCTATACGTGTAACCGTCTCTAAATGAGAGTGCCGTACTTGGGCGTGAGCGGCGAGATGGGCAGCCTTGGCCTGCGCGACTTCAGGTGTGTCTACCACCCGTCCGTCCGCGCCGATGGGCGCGCCGTACGTGATTGCAGGTGGATAAACAGCAAAAGCATATCTGTAGCCGAGCGTTCCTGTGTTCCTGGCGGCCTCGTAGTCCTGAATGGCGAGATGCGCCGCTTTCGCCTGAGCCACCTCCGGCGTGTCCAGGATCTTGCCGTCTGGGCTGAGCGGCAGGCCGATGTGATAAGACAGATAAGTCGGCCTCGCGGCCACGATGGCGCACAGTGCGGAAAGAACGATCTGAAAAGTGATTGTACATATAGGTGCGTTCCTCTTGTTTGGTTAAACGGGATGTCTTCGGGTTTTGTGGCGAATTCTTACGATCAATTATTATATCGCGCCTTTTGAGCGAATTTTTCCACTTCGTGGATTCGTTTAACCCTTGATATACCGTCGTGATATTAATTAATTTTAAAGGATTAATTTCTCTTATTAAGAAAAATAAGTAAATTTCGTCTCCTTATTTTTTGGAAAACTTCTAAGAAAAAGATGTAAATTGTGAAATTTTTATCCTTACAAAGATGCTTACAACTGCTCAAGAAGGAGCTCAAAATTGAATCCGATGAACCTTTGGCGAGAGAATCTAATAGTTAGAGTCTTAATTAAGATAGAAGAATCAATTTATGAGAAAGACTAATATCGGATGCCGCTGCATTCGTGTCAAGATGAAAGGGAGGGAAATTAATAGCCGAAAAAAGATGAATCTTTCGCTGAAGAGGAGTTCCAATTAACGAGTTCTCCCTCCTCGTGCATTACGATTTCGACGAGAAGGCAAACAGAAAAAAATTCGATCGAGCATCGATGATCGCAGCGTCTTAGCGACGAAGAGCGGTCGACTCAAAAACAGAACCCTTTTTTTCCGCGAGACCGAGACACCTTCGAGAGTCTCGATCGTCGGTCTTGATGGTACTCACAAGAGCCCTCATGTCTGATTAGCGGCGGTCAACAAGCGCTGCTGGCTGATTACCAGTACTCGCCCTAAGGTATGGACTGCTATGTCGTACCATGTCGAGACTCCGATCTCCTTTTATATATGTGAATCTTGGTAGGGAGTCGTCGACCCGTAGGAGGGGACCACACCTTGCAGCCAGCGCCTCAAAAGTGCTGACATTGACATTTGTGACATTAACGACATTTGCTGACATTGATGTTAACGAGGACCGTACCCGTCGCTTTCAATTCGCCCGGAGGGGGATGCTCCTCGGAGGAGCGTGGACATATCGGCAAGGTCAGGTGCACCTGACCACAGTGGAACGACTTCCTCGACGACGAGTCTTCTCTTCGCGCAAATTGTCATCACAGCAACCACCGACGGTCCGAGTAATCGACGAACCTACTGCGAAGTCTGCCCCATCGATTTCCGAAGAATCAGTTTTTGCCGGAGGCAGATGGGGTAAGGGAATCAATAAATCAATAAATGTTTTGTTTGAGGTAAAAAGGTAAATCGCCTCGTAAAATATCTTTGTTACCGCGAAGATGACGGTTAATGGATGTTTCTGTGTCGAAGAGAACACGTAACCGGGAGAGAACAATGTGCAATAGCAAGACTTCTGTGTCCTCGGCGCGGCTATCTCGTTTTATGACGGAAATCTATGCTTAAAATTCTTACGGTATTCCTTCAAACAAATAAGTACCCGGACGACATAACGTCTAAAATCAAGACATAAGACGCCTGAAAGACAAATGTCTTATGTCTCGATTTTAGACGTTACGTTGTCTACACTTTTGTAGAACACACTATCGTAGAACGGCTTCTAAACTTCTTATTGTCTAAAAGACGTTTTTACGACGTTTTAATGTTATTTAGGAATTCTGGACATGCGTTTTCTCGCTTCATTAAACAAGACGGCTACAGCAAGAAACCAGGAGTCTTAATGTGTATGTACACGCAGCGATGCTTACGTGGCTTTTTTCTCTCATCGGTGGATTTATTCGTAGATCTTAATGAGGAAACCTTTCTTGTTTTTCTTTAATTAAAAATGAAAGACAAGGTTATCGAATATGTTCCCTGAAACCGGCCAATAGCCGAAGCTGCCGATAAATAGAAAGGAAAGGGGCAGAGTGTGATTAAAATGTATGGAGCGAAGTAGGAAAAGGGAGCACACCAGCCGGCAAAGCAAAACGAAGGTCGGCCACGCGCGTGTCCTCGGGACCGTAAAATTTTTCCCGAACGGACGATCGGAACGAAATGTATCGCTTTCGCAGTTTGACGCGCCCGGATAAGTATCGGGTGCGAATTCGCATTTTTTTGCTCGTCGTTGTAAGTTCGACATCAAGGTCTCGCTTCCCTGATGGGATTTTCTTCGCGCGGCCTTGTGCGCATTGTCCGAATCGCTCGTGTCTGTCGATGTTAAAAACGCGTGATTCCGCGAAATTCGATTGTAGTGGAAAGTAAAAAAGGAAAAAAACAGAATTGCTTTATATCCTCTATCAGTCGAGACATTGAATTTAACTTGTACGATCTCTGCAAATAGAAACAATTCTGCACGTATTTACATTGAAAAAAAAAAGTTACGTTCAAGTAAATTTTTGTTAAAGAGCATTAAAGTGATTACATTACTTGGATTACGTAAATATTGCTTAAATGTAGCATTTTTTCTCAGTATGCTAGACTTAAATAATATTTACTTGATACAATAATTATTCCAATATTCCTTAGTAAATATTTGCTCCAATACAGCATTGTTTTCTTTTAATGTAACATTTCAGAGAAATTGGATGAAAAATCTCTCGCATGCTTATGTGGGCGCTTTAATGGCACGTGGATCGCGCAACTGCTCGGCGAACAAAAGCCCTTTTCCTTGGAATTCGAGATAATCTCGGCACGCCCGATGACCCTATTGTCTATCGCGCATAAGTGCATATACGAGCGGGTACGGATACCTTAAATGTCCAATAAGCGATAGATGCAATTAGTTGGCCAACTCTGCATTTTCCTTCGAGCGTATGCGTGGGCCGCATATTGTCGATTTCGTGACGACCCATAAATACCAATAAGGAGGACCGAGCGATTACGCGTCGTTAGGCGAACGCCGGTCCTTCGGGTCGACGCATCAGGATAATCACGAGAATAATGATGAGATTTTCGCATATATGGGAAATTCCGTCGTCCTATGGACACGGAATTCGCTTAGAGTTGACGAAAGAATCCGAGAAGGATGAAGGGGAATCTGAGTAAACGTCGTGGATTTACGCGACATAATGAAGTATAGAGCTCGTGGCTCAAGGTATCTCAAATCACTTGTCCGAAAGTAATATGAAATGTTGCGATCCTTGAGGCCGAATTCGGCTGCGACGTATACGGAACACTCGGGACCGATGTAAAACAACCGGATCGATCATTCCTCGGATTCGTTCGCGAGCGTGAAAAAAGACGATAAGGTATGCTGACCACGCGTGCGTAAGGCCGCAGGCGGATGTTGACAGGTACGCCTGTTGCACATGTCGACTTCACCGTCCGATTATTTATAGTGTCCTATATCAGCTCGACGGATCTCTTAAATCACACCTTCCCTTCTAAACGTTCGTAAAGCAGACATTCTGAGAGTTGCGTCGCGTGCGATATTTTATTACTAGTCGTGTCGGCGATTCGTTGTTCTCTACAATCAAAAGTGTGATTCGTGTACGGAGAATGGTAGAATTTTGAAAGGATTTAATATATTCGTCGAAAAAGGATCGAAAACGATATTTATAATAAAATAAATCCTTAGAAACTTGTCAGGGTTATGTCGTAGAACAGAGTAGGAACTGAAAGTAACAACGAAATGCTATATATTTGTTATATATTTCTTACGAGCTAACATGTCTTAAGCATCATTAAGTAACTTGAGCAAACGGCCGTGAGTCTTGCACCTCAGTCTGAGTGTTGCGATCGAAGATGCGAGTGATTTACGACGCGTCGCCGAACACGCCGTAACGAGTTGCATAAATTCGAGGAACGTGTTTCCTGAATTATTCAATATTGTGGTAACGTAACATTAACAGGACGTTGCTTTACGAAATTTAACAATACGTTCTCGTTAATTAGCAGTTGTTTGTTGAAATCAATATTCATTATAACCATAATGGCCGTGATGAAGAGCGTTGGAGTGAGCAGCGAGATGATTTTGTTTGGCGTGCGCCACTTCGGGGGTGTCGACGACCCTGCCGTCGTGGGATAAGGGTGCGGTCGGGCCGTGATAACCGTACGACGGTGAATCGTAATATTCCGAGTGATCCTCGCCGGCCACGAGAGGTGCCGAGGAAGCTGCGTGATTGTAAGCCGCCAAGTGCGCGGCTTTCGCTCGAGCCACTTCCGGCGTGTCCACCACGCGACCCTAAAGAAAAAGAGAACGATGAAAACAATAACAAACAACGATAAATTTCGCTGTCAACAGTCTAATTCATCTTTTCGCGAACTTGGTGGTGAAAATTAATTTTGATTTCTTTATTTCTGAGACTTTTTTTCCCCGCGAATTCTTAAGAGAGCAGACCGGAACTCGAGGAAGTCGATTTAACCGAATAGAAATATATCGAATCGGCTTGAGTATATAATCTAGCTGTTATACACCCGCCACTAGCATCGGAAAAGTGAATCAGACGATCGTGCATCAATATAGTAGAGACATTTTTTGTTAATTAAATATATATAAAATAGAATTATTACTTCGTGATCCAACGGAGCAGGCGGTCCGCGATATCCGTATCCAGTATGGTACACCTGATGACCCGCCGTTACAGGTTTCGAATATCCGTGATAATTTTGATTGTCCGAGTAGGAGGAACTATGCGGAACTTTGGCAGCGGCCTCCGCCACGGCAGCGAGATGCGCCGCTTTAGCACGCGTTACTTCCGGCGTGTCCAATACTCTCCCATCGTGACCGATGGGCGCAGGTGGACCATGATAATACGCCGATGTTGCTAAAGTTACTGCGACGGTCGAGATCAAGACTACCTGCAAACGCGAAGGTGATCAATGTAGAAGCGTCGATGGTGAAGTCGCGACAAAAGCGATTACCGATGATGCAGGAAATTTTCATCAAATGAAAAATATTATTATAACTCATACAATAAATTAATAAAATATTATATAATTCATATATAAATGTTAAAATTGTATCCTATTACTGATGTGAGACGGATGGCAATTCGCGATGAAAATTTCGCGATTTCCTTCTCTTATCTCAAAGAAGAGATTGCGCAAAGTAAGATGGGGTTCCACCGCGAAGGGTCTACTTACGAGGGACTTCATCGTTACGTTCAATCCTAAATGGAGCGCCGCTGTTTTATAAGCAGCGAGCGCGAAATGCTTGGTTTATATACAATCGGCGATTTAATCTTGCCTAATAGCATCGCCCCACCAGGACGCGAATACCGTTCGACTAACGCTCGTAGGAACGAACGATCGTTCGATTTTTACGAAATGTATCAAGATGCACATTTCTCGGCGCTTTTGCGTCGCCTTAGCGTCGCGAAAGTGCACAACGCGGTGATGCAATTAATTTTTCGACGCGATTTAATGATTATTTCGATTGCGCGATAGCGTCGAAGCTCGTATCAATAATTGCCGATCGATTTGGTTAATTGAATTTCGCAATCAAAGAATCAGATCGGATACTTAATTATTTGATTGTTATTTGATACGCTTTATTGTTATTCTCCGAACTAATGCAATAGCTCGTTAAGCAATTAGGCGCGGCGCGTGTATGTGGCGGAATTTCTAGTAGTCTTTAATTCGAGATAATAATCGCCGGTCATTATTAATGCGCGGCCACGAAAAATTTATTTCATCATTCCACGGTTATTAATTAAAAGAAATGTCGCAAGTTCCATAAATCTCCAGATTTTGAGATAATTATCGCTGCTACTATATGGAATGAAATTTGATTACGAAACAAATAAATTCGGAAACAATTATAAATATTCGCCTGAAACAACGTCGAATGGATATTTCAGCGTCCAAACGTGTTGATTTTTTACCGGATTTTCAACCTTGAATTTTCTCGGAGAGCGTTCATCGGAGATCGACGAAATTCGGGAGCGATCGATCTCGATCGAAATCGCGCCGTTGATGCTTTTTGTCAAGGCAATTGTACAACGTCGTCCCGTAGAATGTTCGCGTTTTCATCGTTGACGCAATCATAATTTCGCTCTTACTGGCGTTCCCCCTACTCCTCCCCTTTTCTCTCTCCTTTTCGTTGTTCCTCTCCCTCTTTCGTTTCCTCGCTTCTTCTCGTTACGCCGTAACAGCTTGGTCTTTTTCCTAGTCCCACAAGATCCTCGACGTATCTCCGTCTCACAATCGCGCAGAAGTTGCCAAGCAGAAAAACCGGGACCCCTCTCGTTCCAGCTATGTGAAAATCGAGCCGGGTCTGTGTCTACGTTTCGTCCGTGCTATTTTAGGCGGGACAGGTGAGTCTGTCTGTATTGTCCATCGGCTATATAAAGTCTACACGGCGCGATCGAACTGACAGAGATTCGTCCGATCTTGAATAGATGCGCACAATCATGAAAGCCCTCGTGAGTAAGCAAACTTTATCTATCCTTCACCGTCGAATTCTCTTGCTTATCCATCCGCCGTCACCTCACGTTCATCTCATCCCCTTCAATTAATTCCTCGTTAATAATTATTTGTGAGAGATTTCGTTCGAAAAATCGATCAACCTGAAAACCCCAAATCAAATAAAGCTATTCGATCGCCTCGACGGTGGCTGGTTGTATCGTCTTATGTATTCGGCGATACTACCGTGGCGCTTGATCGAGTTTTTTCTTCATCGTCCTCTGAACTCGAATACAAATCTCTTACCACTTATCTTTTCAGATCATCTTATCGTGTCTCACATGGGCTTCCGCCGCACCTTATCAGACGTACGGGGTGCAAGCCGAACACTACCACGGGCCGCTAGCCCCGTTGGCCCACGACGGTCGAGTGGTTGACACGCCGGAGGTGGCGCACGCGAAAAAAGCCCACCTGGCGGCGTACGCGGCTGAGGCGGCGAAAACCGCGCATCACGGGTATAACATGGGATATCACGGCGCTTATCACGGGCCGCCGGCACCGCTCGGCCACGATGGACGAGTGGTTGACACACCGGAAGTGGTTCACGCCAAGGCGGCTCACTTGGCCGCCCATGCGGAAGCGCTCTCCAAGCTCGCTCATCTGTCTTACGCGGATCCCTACTCGCACGCCAACTGGTGAATCCAGTATGGAGGAGCGTTATGTTAAGGCATGACTAGAAATTTATCTGTATCGCGGCAGTGGTGGAAGAGCACACACACACAAATGGTAGCTTAGAAAAATCGTTGTTCTAATAGGCGCAAGGTTGATAAATGTAAATTTCCAAGTGGGTGTCACTTTACATGTAATAATATTGAAAGAGCAAATAAAGCGTAACGTATGGATCAATGGCGAGTGATTCTCTTTACGATGCAGACCCGTCGAAAAAGTATGAATAAAGTTGATTCTAGCCCCTTTTTCCGAGTGTGAAATAGAAATACAACGGAGATAATTGAATTGGAGCGAGGGAGCACGGAGGTCGATCGTATCGTGATCGAATGTATTGTTTTTATTTATTTTCCTTTTTCTCGACAATGCATACGAAGCAAACAATCAGGGAAACAACGATTTATTTCGCGCACGCTCTGCCGGGTGATCGAGTTTTGCGTCCAAGATTAATCGCCCGGTAGGCGGTTCAACGGAGCCGATCTCACGTATCGATGACTGACGATCGACCGATACTCCGTCAAGCTTGACTAAACGCCTGAGCCCGCCGCGTCTCTGAGGAATTGCGTTGGTGACAAATACGCAATTCCTTTCAGATCGGTATACGGATAAGGGCGCGATCGATGAACCAAGTCGCCAGTTGCAACACCGTGTCCGTTTTAGTAATTCAGCAACTATTGTTATCGCTACCCTGTGACATACTATTGTGATTGATCCGACACGTGCGAATAAACAATTGCATAAACCCGGGGTATTAGTGGGTGTAACTCGTTGCGCGATCGCGACGTAAAGATAGTAAACGCACGTGACACAACCGTAAGTCGATCTTACGCACTCAAAGGCAGTGCTTTAGGCGGCGTCTTTATTGCCCTTTCTGATTTAATACTAAAGCCATTGCACGCTGAGAGAGTCAGAAAGTTTCTAGAAGGAGGATCATTTTTTAAACGATGAGAACCGGTCACAGCGATACGTTAGACACAGCTTGAAATATTGTATACAGGAAATAAAGAATATCCTTGGGCGGCGAGCGCGTAATTCTTCGCTAGGAGCGGAAACTGCGAGAAGTTTCGCATTTCCGTTGTCCGAAAAATTACATGATCGCAAAGCAGCCGTCGAGTTCGCGTGAAACTTTTCACTTTTCTCGCCTTCCGCCCCTAGGAAAAAATTACATGATTGCTATCCCGACGCACGATTCGGGAAGGCGACGCTCTTCTGCGGCTCAGCGCTCGAAGGATCCCTAATAAGTCTCGTTAGCGATCACACTCCGAATCACTTTGGCGAAAGTCTACGCGCAGATGACTGCGAAATGCATTAGCGATGAGGCGCGGGGCGCAAGCCGCATAGTTCGGAGGCGCCGCGAGGTTACACGCGCGACCGGGTGTCATTGTTGCACGCACGGTAAATGTTACGGGGCAGGGCCTTAAGGAGAGCATTTTCCTCCTGGGTGTGGTTGTGCTCAGCAGTCGCGCGCACCAAGTGGGGCGAAGCACGCCCGATGCGGCCGCCTGTACCCCTATAAATTGCACTACGCGCGTTCACGACGGACGTAATACGAATCTAAACGCACGTGCCGCGGGATCTGAGCAACGGGATACTTACCTTCGAGCAGGACTCGCCGCGATGATCGGATACCTCGTGAGTACACGTACGGGAGGGCTCGGGAGAGTGCTGTGAAGTGTCGCGTTCGAAGTACTGCGTTCGCTTTTTCGTCATCTTCAAATTAATCTCCGGGAGAAGATTCACGTTGTCACCCGTAATCTGATATTAATTATCGAGCACTTGTACTCTCCGAGAACCCGTTAAGGTTTCTGCTCAGACAGCACGCAATATTTCTGAAATATCGTTTAAATATAGTTATTAGATGTTTTGTAAATATTCAAATGTCCGAGAAAGTCAGGTATAAGAAAAGTTACGATAAATATTCCAAAATATTTATCATAAGTATTTTGGAATATTTATCATACTTGACTTTCCCGCATACTTGGATATTTGTAAAATATTTAATATCTACATATGCTGAAAACATTGATTCCGTCGCTGATTATCTCGGTATTATATTGCAGATCCTTGTATTTGCAATGTCGAGCGCCACTCTGGCGATTCCACAATGGTACGGAGGACCAGCTTATGCGCCTCACGCTTCCCCAGCGCCTTTGGGCCCCGATGGCCGTGTGGTCGACACTCCGGAAGTCGCGCAACTGAAATCTGCTCACTTGAGTGCTTTGGCGGAGGCTAACGCGCGCGCACCGAAGGGACCGGGCTTGGTTGGCGGATACGCCGGACCCGACGGATCTTACGCTTCTGGAAATTACATCTCGCATTACAGGTTTGTCTCGAGCGCTCATTATCTCGCTCGTTTACCCGTTTGTAGTTTGCATTTTTCTGAGGTAGCCTCGTACTGGTATTTAGACGCAGCATTTTAGTTCTCTCTTTCGCTCTTATGCGGACATATTTTTCTGTTTAGCCAAATTCGATCATTTGATTAAGAATTCGCTGATATAAATCTGTCCACCGTTGCGTATTATATTATCATTAAATCAAACAGCGGACCACCGGCTCCACTGGGTCCGGACGGTCGCGTGGTCGACACACCCGAGGTTCAACAAGCCAAGGCCGTCCATTTCTCTCTCTACAATGCGGAAGCGCAGCGCGTGCCGGCTGGTCCAGCTGATCCAGTTGCTGGCGCCTACGATCCGTCCTGGAACAATGCTGGTGCCTACAATCCCGCCTGGGACGGTTCGGCTCGCAATTACTACTAAAAGCGAACGTCGATCGTTCGCAGGGAAACGACCGGATCAAGGCGACCCGAGAAACGCGCTTCCTCTCGTCGAATGGACGTCGATGTTCCAGCGGGATCGATCGATCCCGCTGGATCACGCGAGGTCCTTCGGTGTTCTTCAGCTACCTCAGAATTGGAAGACTAAAACGACACGAATTAGAGAGCGTGGTTGGGCGAGATAAATCCTTTCCGTTGCATTGCGAGAGAATTAAGGAGATTCAGTTCGATCATGATCCAGCGACTGGGAAAAACGCGGTAGTAACGGCCGGCAACGCGATGCAATTGAACGGTTATTTATGCTCGGAGACCGCGCAAGAGATATGATCTGTCGTACATATATATTATATCCCGCTCGCTGTATTATGTCGTTAGCGTTCCCCACGTACTCGAGATCGTGTACAGTAATTCGTGTCCCGCGACGCAAACGCCGTCACGACGTTAACTACCTCCTACGATCGGTCCGGCCGATGCATCCTCGCTGATTCATCTCCCGATGAGCGATATAGAGCTTCCTGCCTGCATTTTAAGCGTTGCACTTTGTACACTTCCTATTGTCACGTGCGACCACTTGTATCCGGTGTGTATACAGTGAAAAAGAAATATATACATATATATATATATTTATGGGATAGAGCAGCGAAACGAAAATGACACTGTCCATCCAACATCCTTCGATACCGTTTGACGCTTTCGAGAAACGGTGAAATTTGTTTCGGAAGTTTCAGTTTAACAGAAAGAAGGGGAAACTAAATTCGAGAATCTGGAGAAAAGTAAATTCGGAAAAATTTTGCTCGCATACATATTTCTATGCAAATGTTTCTATATCGATGTGCGAACGTGCTGACCTTAGAAAATCCAATTTATTCTCGCGACTCTTGTGCACGTATTTACGGTTGTTTCTCGAGACTTGCTTCCGTTTCCGTATCATCGTCTGCGCATTGTCCACGCACCATTATTCAAATCTGCTTCCGCGAGAACATAGCACACGTGTGTCGCAGATCATTATCCACCGTGTTCTACCGTTGCATACTTCGTCAGGCACGATTAATCGCGTCCTTGCTGGCGGCACGAGCTCGCTTAGGACTCGCGGAGGACCGCACAGAATAACGCGCCTTCTATTTGTCTCAGTTACAAACAAAACCGGTTCTTTCGTTATCCACGCAAATGAATTGATTTTTTTTTTTTACGTGGCCGACCGAAATCAGGTAATTAGAACTGTCGGTTCTTTCGGGCGACAAATCGCACCGTGAGCCTTGAGGAAGGATTACGTCCCCCGAGAAGAACTCGATTTTTTTCTTTCCGTCATCGATTAGCGGTCGCAAATGTTCAACGCGTAATTTCTACATCGAAATTCACAGTTCGTCGATCAGCAATTATTATTAAATACAGAGAATATCAATCGAGAAACTTTATGAGAAACTTAATCAACAGTGGACGTTGTAGCCGGTCGTAAGCGCGACGGCGCGCGCGTGAGCTTTCATATGCGCCGAGCGGGCCACCGTCACTTCCGGTGTGTCGACGACCTGGCCGTCCGAGCCCAACGGAGCAGGTGGTCCCCGATAAGCGATCGGCGATACCAAGCGGATCAGATAGAGCAGGTTCCCGTGCTCGTAGGCGTCCAATTCGTGATCCGAAGTCGCCGTCGCGGCCGCGCGAGCATGTGTCGCCAGATGCTTGGCCTTGGCTGCGGCGACCTTGAAAATTGATCCCTCCGTACATACAACAAAGCCGTTAATTCGAATATCACCTCTCTCGTCCTGACGCCTCGTATAATTTCTGGGTTAATTCATCTCCCCGGGGCGGCCGCTATATTTTTGTATCGTAAGACGCGACTAATAACCGAGTTGTCAAATTGAGAATTTCGACGGAATCTGTCTTTTTCGTGCTCAGCAATTAAATTGGAATCGCAAAAATAGGCATGTCTCCCACCCGGAAGGGTTAAGTTGAATTGATGGAGGGAAAGAATCGGCTACTTTTGAAATCGCATCTTACCTCCAGTGTGTCGACCACCTGTCCATTCTGCCCCAGAGGCGCCACCGATTTCTGACTGTCATCCCGTTGCGTCATTTCCCGGTTTGTTTCCAGTGGTTCTGCCGTGGCCGATCTCGTGGTCGGTGACAGCTCGATCAGAGTTTCCGCGACTCTGGCATCTGCAGCTGCATATGCGGCCAAATGCTCGGCTTTGGCTTGGGCAACCTCGGGCGTATCTATGACCGTACCGTCGTTGGCAAGAGGCGCCCATGGTCCATGGTAGTCGTACAGCGGTGTCTGTTGTGATTTACCGATCAACAGGCTCGTCGCGCTCAGGAGAACCTGGAAAACCGCGGGGCGTTTAGAAGAGTAGGCGACGTGTGCCGCAATCGATGTCAATTCTCTTCTGGTCGGTTCTCTTTTTTGTTCTCTCGTAATGTCGCACTTACGAGTAATCTCATGGTCGTCGTCGTCGTCACGCTCGTTTGCGACACGGATCTACCAGTTATGAATGCGTCAAGGCGATCAGCGGATCGTGCTTTTATAGGATCGCATGCTACCCCGCGAGACCATCATCGTGGTCAGTCGGGTCCATTGCAAAAAAAAACTCTTTAATCGCTATTAGCTCTAATGATATACGTTTCCGTGTAACCTCACGCGATACCTTCCCTCGGATTAAATAGACCTTAGACACTCGCTCAGACGCATAAATATTATATTATATTATATCATTATATTAGATTATATATCATTTATTAGACTCTCTCATTTCGATAAATATATATAAATTACGATAATGAAGAAATATATATTTTTCCGTTGTGTTATATGAAACTGTGCATTCGATAAGGATGTTTTTTTTCGTTTTACCTTCCACCTTGCCTCGTTTTCTACGCAACCACCCACTCACCGCAAAGCGGCAGTGCAACGTGCATTGGAACGAACTTTTTTGCGGTTGTAAGACACGTGCGATTCACGGACGACCAGCTTGGATCATAGATTATCCGGTGGTGGTCCCTTCAAGGTAGTCCTCTTCCTATCGCTCATCATCCTGCCTTAAGAAACCGCTGTCCTATCTCATCAAAGATCTTCGAGCGAACGAAATTCAAGCTTTGTGCAGATAGAGAGAGAGAGAGAAAGAGAATAATTCTTTTAGGAATGTATATTTATAGATTTTTCTTTAATTTGCATATCTCACAAAACAAATGATGGCAAATAAAAAGAAATTAATTTTCCGAAAGGCTCGGAACGGCTCGCCGTTCGATTCTTGCATTGTTTCGTCGCACTTCGATTATTCTCGGTGATAAGACGATATCGGGTAGAGGATTAATTGCCATTTGAGGTCAGTGGAGCAGCGCGGGGGAGAAGATTATTTGATCTTGCCCTCGTTATAGCGAATCGACGGTGATCTGCGCGCGGTAACGTGAGATACAACTCAGCTGCCCGCTCGCGGCAGGTGATTATTGCGCAAATCTTCGCGGGGTCTCTCGTAACACATAATCTGCAGGGCACGTAACGAGTTAAACCACCGACCCGATATCGTACCGCAGCTGAGATCTTCTACGCAGAATCCGCCAAGATCCTTCCGACGGTTTACGCGTATCGCTCGACTCGTATATTTACATCGAGGTCAATTAAGTGATGTAATTGTGCACAGGATGTTCGCCGAAGTATCACATCTAAAGTCGGTCTAAAGTCGATTTCTCTTCGAGGGAATTTCGGCGGCAAGGTCTTCTTTTCGTTTTCGCGAGCGCTTTCCTAATTCGGCGGATGTCTCGGTAATTGAGCGGCCGATAAAAAAAATCCCGTCCATTTGTTTGTAATTTTATTTATGTACGCGCGCAGATAGCGACGCTCGCGTACACTTCGCGCTACAAACGAGTTACGATTCCTGACCTTTTCGCCGGCAAGGTATGTCGAATCACGATGCTCGAGTTCATTCTCGGGGAACGAAGCTATTATTCCGCTCTCTCTTTCTCATTCGTTTCTTCTCACGTCTCTCGCACTCCAATGACCTATGTGGCAAGATCCACAACTGTAACGCGAGATGACTATGTTTCGATAGAATTTAACATGATACTCTTCTCGGTTCCCAGATTTGAATCGAGATTAGTACACGGCGCTTCCCGCCGCGCTATATTTGCGGGAGACTACGCGCGCGCGCTGCGAATTCGAGACAATAAAATTGTATATTTATTTATTTCGCAGTCAATCTTTTTTATGTCCATGTGAATAAATCGGTACAATGGATATACCGTTGCAGTCGCGTGCATTGCCTCAAACTTCGTTTCCCCTTTCTCGCCGCGCAAGATTCGACTTGCGCAAAATTGCGTGCGCATCGACCGCAATCGTACGAGACGATCGTTACGAGATATTGTCTCGCAGCAGCGCGCTGCAAAACGTAAAAACTTTCCTAATCGTGGAGTCCCACGACGATCCGATCGTTCCATTTGCACTCCACCGATTTTTATCTGAATTAAGACACAAGCCGTTTCGTCACGAATCGCTGTGATTTCGCGAGAAATTTCGTGTTGCGGTCATTTCGCGAATCCCTTTTTTTCTTTTTGCGCACGTCTACAATAGGTTCGAATATTTTTCATCAATTTCATTTTGTATCTTAATCTGCATATCTAATTAATCTAATTAATCTACTTAATGTTATTAATTTAACGGAAGAGAGGACTGATAGAGGGAAACTGGCAGAATGGCGTTCTAACCTAGAAGAATTGATTAATTCAACATTTGATGCGCATTCACAGCACTTAATTAATATTTCTTCGAATAAAATGGTGGTGGGGAAGTACATTTTACTCGAATTAAATAACGCGTAATGTAAAATTAAAAGACAGTCTGCGACTTGAATAAAATTCAATTTTCAGCTTAATCAACCATTGTACGTAACACATTATTACAAATTAGAAAAATTAATCGCTGTGCGATACTTTGCGATATATCTTGTAATCACAGATGTGTGCGCAAGTGAAACTTTTGATATTATTCACGTAGTAGCGGAAATCACAAAATTTAACAACTGCCAATTTCGTGTAATTTATAGAAATCAAATTGATTTAAATAAAATAGTCAATTTATTTAAGTGAAATTTATTTATATAAAATAGTCATAAAGTAAATTAAGACAATGAATTTTATACAAGAAGGACCAGGAGGGCAGGGACCAACGGACAAGGAGTCATCCTTCCATTGAATCTTTTTCTCAGCAGTCTTTATGTATCACAATTATCCGATAATCAAAGAAAAGGCGTACAAATGTCGGCGATCGACGTCGTGAAAAAGAATGCACCGGTGATTCGCGTAGAAAAGGCAAAAACAATTTATTCATCTAGAGTATGTACAAGCTGTCCGGACAGTGTCGGCCGACCGATCCGTGAGGATCAGTAGTTTCCTATCGGATGCTGGGATTGATAATGATAGGGCTGGTAATTCGTGTAAGACTGTGTTCCGTAATACGAGCCTCTCGCTACAGCAGCACCGGATCCTAGATAGTTTGAGACAGAAGCTGGTCCGGCCGATGGCGCGGAGTAACCTGAAACAACACACAAAGGATCATCTGCAGAACATTCGACAATTTCAACCATCCGCCTCCGCCGTACTTTACTTTAATTTCTACGAAAAACTTCCGATCAAATGCGAGAAGAATCGATCAATTTCTTATTCCTTAAATCCTCATTACAGATTTACGCTCATCATCGGCTCTCCCAGCCGCCTCGACGACTCACTGTGGTTCTCCTCCGGATTGTGCTGCTGCGTGCTCGCGTGCTTGTAAGCTCGAGCCTCAGCCTCGGCGAGCTCGGCCAGCCTGGCAGCCTTGAGGGCCGCCACTTCCGGCGTGTCCACGACCGTGCCGTCCTCCGCCAACGGCGCCGGCACGAAGGCGGTGGGCTTCGGTGGCAGCGCGTAGTTCTTCTGGCCCACGAAGTTCGCTCGGCCGTCGTATTGCTGGGGTTGCTGATAGTTGAGCGGGTTGTAGATGGACGTCGGCACGTGATTCACGGCCTGGTAGATCGGTGTGGGCTGCTGATAATCGTTCTGCCTCAGGTAGGGCATCGCGGTCGGCTGGGTCGCCGGGTAGACGTGCTGCTGCTGCTTCTCGTCTACGGCCGCTCGGGCGGCGGCTCTCGCGAATTCGGCGAAGTGCGCGGCCTTCGCCTGTGCCACTTCCGGCGTGTCGATGACGTTGCCGTCTTCGCCGACCGGAGCCGGCGGCGCGTAGCTCGGTGTGACTCGCTGGGGTTGAGAGTGGATCAAGGGGTTGCCGTACGGCGACGGTGGGCCGACGTAACCGGCTCTACAGGTCACCGCCGTGACCAACAGGAGAATCTAGAAGGGAAAGATGATTTGGTCGCGAGATCGACATTTCTCACTGGCCGGTCGACCTGGCCCGCCCTTTCACTTTCCTTTGTCCGCGTGGATCTCCCCGGGATCACTCACCAAGCCTCTCATGACGATCTCCAGGGCCGTGTGCTCTGCGCCGGTTTCCCCGCTTCTCGTTCCTTGTTCCTGGTGGAAAAGAGCGCTGCTGTTCTACGCCAGTACTCGCTCGTACCAGAAGTGAGACCCGGTCGTCGGTTCGGCGTTTTGTGTTCCTGGAGAACGGTCGCTTCGTACCATTTATAGTCGCGTTCGTTCCTCCCCTCCCACGTGGGCCGATCGCCGGCGACTCCTTGGAGGGAGTCCAGAAGTGATCGGCTAACCCGCTGGTCCGGGAAGTTCAATCGGAAAGGGTAGGCGGTCTCCTCCCTCGTTTTTTTTCACCATCGGCGACCTTGACATTTCGGCGCCCGCACTCCAACACCGGAAGCGTAATGAGAAGCTGACGGTATCCTCATTTGTATTCCGATCGACAGGTTTCAATTAATGCATGATGTTACAAATAATATTAAGCGATGAGGATATTTTTAACAATTCACACATTAGTTAAAATTCTTGAAATAACCATGTATTTTTAAAATTATAAAACTTTTGTTTAAATTTCTTCCTATCTCTCGCGTTTTGCTCAAAAATATAAACTGATCTTTTTCATGTTTCATCTTTTAAATTTCTTTTACGATGGAAGATTTGTTGTAATCTAAGACAAAAAAATACTTCTCTTATTGTGTCCTAGATTACAACACATTTAAAGCATTTCAAAATCAAAGGAGAGGAGGGGGAACACTATTGTGGACTTCTTTGTCAGTTACAAGCGATCTCGCTTAAATCATGTCGCTGATAGACTGGACATTGATGTTGAGAAACAACAAAGGCGTGTACGAGCATTAAACGACTTACCAGCCCTGAGCAAACGAAGGACTCGAAGTCGAAGGACGATCTGCACCGAGAATGCATTCCTACAAACGATAGTGCACTCTCTCGTAATGCGTTTACGGCGTATTCGGACCTTTGTGACCTGTACGATAAATTTCAACGGGACTGCGAGCCATTTGCGATCGAAAGTGAATTTCTTTCTCTCTTTATTTTCCCCCCTATAAGTACTTACCGTATGAATATTACGGACAATCACAATCGCGCCCGGTATCGTATCAAAATTGCAGCTATAATGATATGCAATTGTTTTCCTTATTTGGCGCGCTAAATTTAGAAAAGTGAAAATCTAAAATAGCGATTCGACGAGTAAATAAGGTAAAACTACCAATGCTTGGACGCGCACTTAACACATTCTTATTGTTTTGGTCTTTATAAATATAAATGTTTATTTTCTAAACTTAATATGCTTGTATATACTCAATATATATACATTTATTCTATGTTAAAAGTTTGAATATACTCATTTAAAGATCAAAACAACAAGAATATCCAGAATTAGATATATCCCGAGTCGAAATTTTAGTCCTAGTTTAGGTCTAAATTTTAGTTCTACATTAAATGTTCAAAAGTGTTTTATTGTGCTCCTTTAGTGCTACAATTGGTAAAATTATTGCCATTTTCTTCACTTGGAGATTTAATGTAGAATTAAAAATTTCGACTCGGAATGTTCAGACACTGATATTTGTACCTTAATTGCAATTGTAGTTCGTCAAGACATCGTTCGAAGTGTTATCAATGATATCTTAGCACCGAGGATTTCAGTGTTCTTCGTAAAAGAATATGTTACATATCGGACGTGAGTTAAGCGGATACGGGCACAATGTGCGCGAAAGGTGTGTCGCGCAAACACCTTTGACACTACGCGACATATAAGCCCACGCTGCGGAGTGTGCCAATGAACGCGAACAGGCAAGGTGACGCGTCATCGCGTGTGACCACGCCTTTCCTCGTTTCGTTTCGCTCATTAACGTCCGTCATTAATTTACTATCGCGGCTTATCAATCCGCATCGGTCGCCGCGCTCGATCGCATCGATCGATCGGCTACCCCTGAGTTACACGCTCGCCGAGTGAGGAATAGCGATGTCGTATGAAAGTGACAGTGGTTCGATCGTGTTCAATGTCTCACCGTCGGTCGTCTTACCGCAAAAAACACCTAAACGCGAAACCCACAACGAATCGATCATTCTTGTCATTTGGAATTGGGCAAGTCTCATGAACGCCGCGACTCAATGTCGTGAAATGAAATCGTATCGCGAAATCGCCCTCTAATTGCGTGTGTGTAACGCGAGAAAGCCACGATGACGGTCTTTTTTTCAGCAACAATTCGCGAAAAACCCGCCGATTGCGTACGACGGCGGTTCTCTGCCAATGTTACGTAGCCGGAGGAGATGACCTAGAAAGCCAACCGTGCAAGGAATGACCGAAAATCGTACGCAACGAGCCCATTATCGTCCTCCTTGCCGTCCCTGCGATCGTATCATTATTACGTTAGCGAGACCACGCATTTTGACAATGTGGCAGCGCAGCCGCGTTTTAAACAGGGACGCGTTGCGTCTATCCGCTTGTATTTTGCGGTAAGAGTACGACGTAGAGAGTCTGCAACTACTTATAGTCGTGGACGGAAAGATTGTCTCATTCCCTAGGCATAATGATGTCGAAAATTTCGAACTTGGAGTATCATTTCTGAATATTCGTGCTTCATGACTGCTGATTATTCTGTGAACCGACGAGGATACTCCAAAGCAGCAGCCTAGGGAATAGAATAACTTTTCTTGTCCACGACCGTACGGTATGGCGTTTACAATTTGTATTCCAAGAAAATGCGATTTCAGAAGATCACTTTATTACGGTTGAATTTGCGGTATGAAACTGTTTCTTTACAAAAATTTGGAATTGGTGAAAACAACAATGAAGGATGAGTGGGAAAATTATGAAATGTTTGGAAAAGCTGCATGCATAATTACAAAGTGTGATATTCGGGAGGGTGAATCTCGCAGTGAAACGATCGCAAGATTACGCCTTGTGAGCTCATGCGGATTTATTTACACCATTAAGCGAACGATACAGCGGGTCGGTTTCGTGCCGAATTCAATGGACGTAGGAATGAATGACCGGCGTGGCGTAAGCCGAGACGACGACTGGCAGGAGTTCATGGGAAGAAGTCAGTTTCGCAGCCTGGTGGCCGAGCCTCTCGTTCACGTGGGCCGCCGCGTGCTCCGCTTTGGCGAATGCTACTTCCGGCGTGTCGACGACGCGTCCGTCGAGTCCGATCGGCGCACCGGGGACCAGTTTCGTCGCCAGCGCGACCGGTTGCACCAGCTGCGCCTCGGTAGCCACCACGGCAGCAGCCGGTGCACCGTAAGCGATCACGTGATGTTGATCGGCCGACTTGATTGTTTCCTTGGCCAGATCGATCTTCTGATTGATGTGAGCGGCTGCGTGCTCGGCCTTGGCCAGCGTGACTTCCGGGGTGTCCACCACTCGGCCGTCCAGCCCGATCGGGGCACCCGGCACCAGCTTGGCGTAAGCCAACGGCGCGACGTGCGTCAGAGTGGCCGGGATGTCCAGAAGGACATTGGGACGGGCGAAGGCGCAAGCCAAAACGGCGGAAAAAACAACCTGGAAAAAGATCTCACAGTGAACCTTTCGAGTGGCGAATAGCGCGTTTTGCGAGCGACGTTTGTAAAACATCCCGTCGCGTTTTTCACATCGTTGTCGTACAAATGCGAGTCTACGGATCTTGAGCTGGCTCAACGATCGAACCTGTTTCGCTTAGGACGTTCCATGTTCAAAAAGGTACGTGTTGCGCGAGTATTTCGAGTGGAAACCCATTCTACAATAACCATAAGAACATGCGGTAAGACATAAGCAATAAGCTAATTGACCAACCACAGTCGATTATTCTTTGGCTGTAAGAATCCAATTGGTCAATTAGCTTACCGCTTGTCTCACTACATATTTTTACGGTTATTGTAGAATGGGCTTCAATCGGTTGCCCTTTGTTCTTTTGAGCAACAGCGTGTCAACTCAAAGAGATCCGTCGAGAAATATTTTTGACGACGCCCGCCGACCGATTCTTGACCGGTGCCGATACTCACGAAGGTCTGCATGGTGTCTCGAAGAAAATCTCAGCTCCTTAGCGCTGCCGAAGATCAGTACTCGCCAAGGTACTCGGATTATGTGTCGTGCATCACCCTGTTCACCGGGGCTTTATATACCCCGTGGGAAAAAAGGTTCCGTGCTGAACGGCGCGCTACCAGGATGTGTCCGTCGCTCGTGGATACGCACTGCCCAATAAGAATCGACGTACCTGACATTGACACTCGCTCCTCTCGCTCTCGTTCGCGTAATCGCGAATCGCCTTTGTCGGCGCTTTATACGACGCTCGCCTAAATTCGCCCCGCGGCTAATTCGATCGGACCCGTCGTAAAAGGCGATCAGCCAATTCGTTGCGCTCGCCTCTGCGACGTCGCCTATTAGTCGCCAAATTTTTTTCATTCGGCAACTGGTAATGCAAAATTCTCCGTGTAAACACTTCGAGGACTTCCGTATTTTTCTCGAAAGTTTGCAAATATCAAGGACCACCTAAATTTTCACGATCGGCCGTTAATACATCCAATCCGACCAAATTTTTCCAACTGCGAGATCAATTTCTCCCGGTTTCTCTGAGGAAAAAACACCGTCGAGTCGCTGTTCTTTTTCTCAAAGTTGCCGCTAGGTCTATTCTATAACTTGTTAAAACATTATCGTTAAGTTACGTTGTCGTTGCGATAATGGTAGTTAAGTTACAGAATAAAGGATATATTGCCTAAATTCAGTAACATTTAATGACTGTCGTTATCGTTACGCAAATATGGAAGAGCTGCGCATCGACAACATAATGATAACGGCAGTATCGATAACAGTTACAAAATACAGGCACAGAAGAGACGTCTTCGAAAAGTTGACAAGTTGACAAAAGGCCTCTCGAATACACCATTAAACGCAAACACGAGCAACTTAAGAAAAGTTAATTCCCACCGGTATCAGCAAGAAAGGATTAAGCAACGCGCCGATCAAACACGGGCGTTCTTACTAAACCGTGCAAAAACAACAATAAGCTCGCTCCAGCGGTGATTACGCGGCAGCCTTCGCCGTCGTTCGACGGCCTTCTAGATCACGGTCGGCCTAGCGGAGAAATGGAAACGGGATCGTGTGTCTTCCCGGCCTCGTAAGAAAGACGGAAAGAAAAAAGAAAATCCATCTCCGTTTCATCCCGCTCCATTTTCCACCCTCTCGCCGCCCGCTCGTCAGTAAGCTCTCGCTTTACCGACACGCTTACCTTGCCCGGCGAAAAGATCGCATGGCTCTATAATCTCTCCCTCGCGCCCTCCCGCGATAATCCTATTATGTGATCCAGGAGGACTATAAAGGCGACCGTCGTGTCCACGACGCCGGTGTGTGCATCTCGCTACGCTGGGCTAATCGAGGTCTCCGTTACGCAGAATCACCGCCGGCATAGCGAAGAACCTTACGAGGATACACCGCGAGATGAAGCGCTTGGCGATCGTGTTGCTCGCTCTGACGAACCTGGCTTCGGCCAAGCCTGCATTCCTGCCCGTACCACTGACGTACGCGAGCCTGACACCCGCGGGGCAAATTGCTGCCGACAACGGAGCTCCGGACAAGCCGGAGGTCGCGAGGACGCAACTCGACGACAGGGTGAACGAGGCGACTCGATCGCAAGCCTCGCGACAGTCATCTCCGCCAACAACAACGTTCATCAATAACGGCCTGTCGAGCTTAACGCAGCCCGCACCCCTCGGTGCCGACGGCAGGGTGGTGGATACCGCGGAGGTCGCAGCCGCGAAGGCGGCGCACACTGCCGCGCACGCGAACGAGCGCTTGAACCTGGCGAACGAAGCCGCGAGATCCGGAGGTGCGTCGGAGGTCGCCGATAACAGCGACACTCCGGGGGTGCGCGTCGATGAGAAAATCGACCTGGCGCGCATCGTGGACGGTGGCGGTGCGGTGGTGCCACTGGTGTTCGGCAACGGCGTCGTCGTCACCGCGTTGCTGCCGGTCGATCCTGAGCTGCCGGAAGTGAACGACGCGAAGACGGTGGACGCTCTGGCGGTCGCCGGGCCGGCTCTCGCTTACGGCAGATTGGTCTACTGATCGCGCTCCAGGGGGAGACGTCCGAAGGATCCACACCGTCCTGAAGACGGGTCAACCGCTCTGGTGCCGACCGCTAATGATACGCTCACCTCCGGCTTGACTCGCGCGACGAGATGCTATTATCAGTCAAGGCTCGCGTGTATCCCTTATGCACCTCCAGATAAATAAATCATACTCGTAACCGATATTTTATCTCGTGTATAAGCGTAACTCTTAACTCACGCACGTCGTGCGTAAATACGATGATTCCTTTTATGAATCGTAGGCGAAGCCGTTCGGCGGAATGCGCAATCTTCCATATCTCACCCGCAGTCCCCGTAAAAGACCTTCTCTCTCTCCCTTTCTTTCTCGCTCAAGACGCCATTCGCGCACCCCTTGCCGTCGTCGAACGGCTCTCGGCGATCCATAAGGGCGTTTCGCGATCGAGTTAATCGGGCGATAAATTAGCGCGCATAAAAGCTGCGATATCCTCCTCGACGCGAGGCATCCCCCGCGATAAAGATCGGCGTTAGCAGCCGGAGCGATATCGCGCGACCTTGAGGCTCGACGTATTAGGGCATACTCGGGCGGATCCTGGCCCGGAAAAAAGGTGGAAACGCCGCGAAAGCCGGATTCCGATCCCCGGCGCGACCTCGAAGACACTCGCGTGACCAGTTTGGCGACGCGATCGTCTTCGACCCTCGCGAATTCGCCCGGACGCGGCGCGCCGCCAGGGCGTGGTTCCACGCCATCGGCATGCGTATATAAAGTGTCCTGGCGGCGTGTCGAATCGAGGGATACCGGTGTCGTCGATACGATCGCCATGAAGAAGAACGCATCTGTAAGTGCCGCGTCTAAGAGGACTCTGATTCTTTCTCGTCGAGACTCCGCGTGGGCTTCGCGAGGATCGTCCGCTCAACAAAGGCCTGTTGAGCTTAACGTCGCTCGCACCCCTCGGCAGGGCGGTGGACATTACGGATTTTTTCCCATCTTTTCTCATATCGCTCACTGAAAAACATTCAGTTGACTCGAACCAAATTTGCTTCTCTGAAGGAACAGAAACGAGAAAGGTTTGCTTTAAGAGAATCAAATTTTGGTTCTCACAAGCCGAAACATTTGTTTGCCCAAACCAAGTTTTGTTTAACCGAATGACTTTTTCATACTCTCCTTTATAACATACTTTTCCTTTTTCCGTAAAATCTTTTTGTATCGTCTATTTACTAAAGGGTATCCCCGTTGATCAATGATGACATTGAAATGATACTATCCTCGCGTACGCTGAACGAGCGTAATATCACTCGGCGACATTAATCTGTAATACTAAACGCCTCCCGCAAAAGCGGCGGATCGCAAATCCACGCGACCGGCGGATCGCGAGCTAACTCTGTACGTTTCCAGTTTGTCCTTGTCTGCTGCTTGATCGCGACTGGCTTCGCCAAGCCGCCGGTGTACCTCGGTTATCAGGATAGCCTGGGTCAATACAGTTTCGGCTACAGTGCGCCGGGCTCGGCTAGGTCGGAGGTCAGAACGTCCAATGGCGCGACCAGAGGCACTTACAGCTATGTCGACAAGGCCGGCGTGATCCAGATTGCGCACTACGTCGCCGACGGCGAGAACGGATTCCGAGTGGTCGCCACGAATCTGCCGCAGGCTCCGCTTCCGGTGCAGGACACGCCGGAAGTGATGGCCGCGCGCACGGAGCACCTTCAGGCTCTGGAGATGGCGACGAAGAGGGGGGAGGCGCAAAGCCAAGAGGAGAATCTGGAAAACGCGCGGCGAACCGAAGGAAAGCTGGCCGACGCGAATCCTGACGAAACGCGGGAACAACCGAGCCCAGATGCCAAATCTGCGGGAGGCACGGTGAAAGAGGAAGAAAGGAAGCAAGCATCGGACGGTGCGGAGAAAGAAAGCGACGAGAGTCTGCGAGCGGTCGCCTCCAGAAACGATGTTGATCGGAAAAGTGAGAAGAATCAGGGCGTTCGTGAGGCACGTTTCTATTTCTCACTTTCAAATTTTCCACGCACACACACACACACGTACATAATTTGAAAATATCTCCTATTCTCAAGCTCCATTCTCATATTCTCAAAATATTCTCTTCACCCTCCTTTATAATTTTAAAAGGAAAAAAATTCTTTCGTTTTTTCACGGATTCCCCTAACGTCTCGAGAGATCTTTGCGACGAACCTTTCGTTGAAAAATCTCTTACCGGTACTTCGACAAATTATCAGCAGGAATCCAATAGAAGGATGACGCAGGAGATCATTGGCGGCGCAAACATCCCAGCGATTCCATTAATCTCCTCTCACGTGCTGTTACCTCAGGCAGCGGACGAACGCGCGGTGCCGGTATTTCGGATCACCCATGGAAGCCACGAGATCGAGCCTTCCGCCATACCGGAGTCATCGATCGCGCAAGGTCACCGTGATTGTAACTCGCAATGCCCTTTACTCCTCGCACCGCTTCGATCGCTGCACACCCGACAAACGCGTTTCACAGCCTTTTTGCATTCACATTTTTCCGAAGGAACTCAATTGCATTGTAACTCGAACAGTCGGCTCGGAGAGAGGCCGTAAATACACGCGAGACTCTCGAAAGTATTCTTTCCTGGGAAAAGGTAACTCTCGCGTACTCCGGCGATAAAAAAAAGGATCGTTTAACGAAAGCTCATTAAAGCTCGATCCTCGGTCTTTGCCGTCCTTCGAAGGTCGCCGTATTTCCGGGACCAAGGACCGTCTGAGGTCGGCCTGACAGACTGGTTCGCAGATTCGTTCGTTGATAGAGCGCAAAATTAGTCTCGCGGTCGAATTGCGGTAAATTAGCGGGCAACGTTAACAAGTTCGCGCGAGAAACATCGTTGCTGAAAAATAATCGTCCGTCTTTCTTCCGCAGATGCTTCCGGCACGCCAGCGGGGACGGCCCTGAAGAGCGCAACAGTCTCGACCAAAAAAGCCGCAATGCCGAAGGAGCAGATCTCTTCGCAGGGTTCGAACGACCAAGCTGAGCCCGTGAACACTCTGATAGCACCATTGAACGTGATCCCGCTGAGTTCCTCGTATTCGAGTTTCATCAGATACATATCGCCGACATCTCTTCACTACGTCACCTACAACGTCCTGTGAACGAGCAGCATCGAGAACGCGATCGATTATCCTCTACGTCAAACTTCTGAGGATCTCAGAAACGAAAGAACATTTTCCGCTCCAAACATGCTCGCTTTGAAGCGTCTCGGTTTTTCCAAAATACGCTTCATGTCACTGAGCTTCCCAGTGATCGACAATCACTCCCGAAGGTCATCATCGGCATTAATCCCGTATCTCGAGAAATGTGTAATCGCGCGGTGAGCAAATAAAAGATTCTGAACGCAGCCTGAAAATAATCGAGTCGCGTCGGTTCTTGCGTTTGTCAAGATATTTTTATTCTTCTTTACAAAATAATGCAGGATGTGGTCGGACAATACAACGGAGTAGTACGCGTATTATAATCGACACTAAGGATAACGATAATGAAAATCAGTATCGTCGTCGCCATCGCCGCCATCGTCATTTGTCGCACTAGTGGAATCACTCGTTTACACTTATCAACGTAAAGTAATATTAAGTATAATGCGTAGACGCGAAGTTTCGTCAAATGTCGCGGCGAGTCTTCCTGGTGTCGAGTAGTATCGGATATGCGTCGAAGCGGACCGGATATCGTGACGTTGAAACGAAAAGAGGATCTTCGGTTACTTCGAGCGACAAGGCGCGCCGAAGTAGCCGAAGAGGCCGCAGGATCGACGCGTCACTAATCGCGAACTTCGTTCAGATATTCGCGAAATCTCACTTCTTCGTGTTGTCCGGACAGACAACCGGATGTCGCTTCGACACACTCCGGGTCACTCGAGCGGAAGGTCTCACCGCGATACCTCGCGATACTTGCGCGCTCTACCTCGATGGGAACGATGTAAATAATGCCTGAAAGCAAGCGCAGCTCCTTACAGCCGAAGTGTAAGTAGATGGGAACCTAATTCGAAAGTAAAAAAGTAATGATAATAATAATAATAATAATGATGCTCGATGATAACGATTAAATAACTACTACAACGCTACTATGTGACAACCGCTGCGTACACTGTACCAGTTAGAACGAATTACATTTAATCACTTTAATTACGTTTAGGGAATTCTCAGACGAAACGATTCACAGGACGAGAAAAGTGCCTCGCGCCGAGTTCCGCGTGATTCCGCTTAAAAGAGCTCCTCGTCGGATTCCTCCTCGACGGATGCTCGGGCGCGGGGCGAATACTAATTTAAGTAAAACAGCTGGCGATTCGGGGACAACGTTTCACTTTTCCTCTTCTCCATCGAGAACACAACGATCGATTCGCCGGATGTGCTCGTTCTCTCCGGACGTTAGCCGGGAGAGTCAACCGGTCCGCTTTTACTGGCCCGATTTGCAACGTAAACGCGCCGAGAAGAAGCCGATCGTAGTTGCAAAAGATCCAACAGGCTGCGTCCTCGCGGACGATTTCGGTCTCGCAGAGGCCTCGTGTCCTGCGATTCGTTACCACGGCCGAACGAATCCCGAGACCTGCAATGAGCTCGTGCCGTCCGCGATCGGTACCTCGCCGTCAATCTGTTTCGTCCAGCTTGTAAAACGACGATCGTTCCTACTTCGCAACTACAACCGCTTCTCGTGCACGCGTCAAGCGTCGCGATACTAAGACCGTTCTTATCGCGATAACGGCGTAATCGACACGGTGATCAATTGATACGGTATAAGGCGGAAATAACGGGAACGACAGCGATCTTGAGACACGTCAATACGACCCGTCAATATCGACCTACGTCGTTTCTTCGACAGTGTAACACAATGTCAACGACTAATAATTGTAATAATAATAATAATGATGATGATGATAATAATAATATTAATTGTAATTGATATCTACGTCGTCTCTTCACGCCCCGCCGTTGCCGTTCTTCTTCTTCTATACATAACATTCTCTTTTACATATATATATTTATATATATATATATAAATCTAAATTTTAATATATATTTATAATGTTCATATATTTATATATAACACACTCGTTCTAGACGTCAAACGCATTGACTTCGAAGCTCGGATGATCGACACCCTCCGATCCTTCGTCGCGCGTACTTTGTTTTTTCTTTATTTTCTTTTTTCTACTTACTATCCGCCCATCACTTGCTCGGGCCCCTCTATTCTCAACCCCCTTCTCCAATATGCATTCGCTATGCCGCTATCAAACGGTGGAAAATGTTACCGATTGCGACGACAGGATAATGCATAATAACGTAACGTCACGGTGTACGGCGAAACGTTACGCTCATATACGCTCTTCACGAATTGTGATACTTCGTTTCAGCACGTGCACTTTAAATCAGAAGACATCTCAAAGTATTCGTTTACAACCTGCCCGCGCGGATATACGTATTATTTGTACCTGTGAGCTCGCCGCGACGTTTCCCTAACGATTTTGATTGCGATCGATCGCAAAATGCGAATTCGCTGCAGTTGCATCGAAGTTGCGTCTCTCCCTTCCCCTCTTTCTCTCTCTTTTTCTGAATTTTTTTCATTTTTCTTCTTTTTCATCCCCCCCTCACTCTCTCTTCCTCTTCTCTTCACAAATTGTTCGTCGATTACGGCGAAAATTCTCCGAGCTGAACGTTATGAAAATAAGTTACTTTCGCTTCTCCCTGAAAAGCTAATTTCATTAACCCGTGCGCGGTTTCAAAGGAGACTCTGTGATATACCATTGACTCACGTCAATCCGAGCAAATTATATCCAGAAAACAGGATATAGAATTTATTACAGGCATGAATTGCGAATATCTCTCGCCGCGATACTCGTTCGTCACTGTACATGGCGCAACAATCGGAGAAAATACTTGGTGCAAGAGATAAAATATTCACTTAACGTTACGTGAGCAACATTAAAACAATAATTCCCAAGTTTCTCTACTTCACAAACGACTTCCGCCCGATCGTCACTGCCGTTTTCTCCTCCCGATCGTTTTCGAATCAATGTCGATCGCTGCCTTCGACCGAAAGTTTCCCAACGACACTTCGCGACGGCGAAGCTGCGACCTTTTCGTTTAGGGAGGGCATCGCTAGAATCGGTCGAAAGAAATCTCGTGAGCGGACGATTCCGGAATGAAAGAGAGATTCCTGCGTCACTCTGCAATCGGAGGCTGAGTCAAGATTCTTCGCATTAAAATTCACCTCGAATGCGACTATGCGCCTCGCTATAATCCCTTCGGACGCGTCACGCTCGCTTTTCTTCGATATCACGGCGTGTCTCTCTTTCTCCTCTCTTCCGGTTCACGTGGAATTTCTGCTTCCTCTTAAACGAAAAAATGAATTAAGCGATCGGGCCGACGCGCGCTCGATTTTCCACGGAAAATCCGCAACTTTGAGAATTCCGCCGCGATCGAGTCGTCGGTGTCGATGTGAACGAAAGAACGAGGTGATTCTCTCGCGATCGACTCGCGTAAACAACGTCATCGACAACTCGTGAGACACCTTCGCCTTTTCGCCTGTAAAAGTCTCGCGGCTTGATTCGTCTCACGCGATTCTTTTACTCGAGAAGTCCAACGGTGGTCAAGACTAGTCTCGCGGTTCTTCCTCGGTCGAATCGATTCGAAAATCGACGCGGCACGCGGCCTGTCGGGAATATCCATAATATTTCTTTTTCCTCTTATTTATACTTTTTTTTTTTTTTAACTACACCTCGCGAAACTACTGTCGACTTACCTGGCGACGATAAAATTTATTATTTAATATTTTCTATCTCTCTTTCTCTCTCGCTCTCGTTCTCGCGCTCTCTCGCTCTTTCACTCTTGCTTTCTGTATAATGTTTTGCTATTATTAATCTCCCTCTCTCCGCATATACAATGTATACGAGTATGACTGTATAGCTGTGTACGTGTACGTGTATGCACGCGTGTGTGTCCGCCGCAGCGTACGCACGTGTGTGGGTGTAGTAATTAGCTCGTCCTGACTTAATAATAACGCATCGACGATCTCGATTGACTATGGTCGAAAGGCGCGCGCGTTTCGTCGCACGCTAATTATGGACAATTGACTTCGTACTCGTTTCTCGCGAGAAGGAGAAAAAGAAAGGAAGGAAAGCACAATCATCCTCGACGTCGAACAGCTCTATTTTTCTTGTGTCATTTTCTCCCGAACAGTCCCGTCGCTGATTCTTGCGTCTGAAAATTCGCGAGGAAAGAATATGCTCTCTCCGGAAGAAGAAGAAGAAGAGGAAGAAGAAATCGTTGGAGAGCGAGGTCATTGTCACTGATCAAGAAAAGAACGCGTACGCCCGCCAACGATAAACTCAATGAAGAAAAGAAGTGACAAGTTGAGCGAAATTCGACGTCGGTGAAAGAAGCGTGAATTCTCAAACGCAATACATAAATCATCCGTTGCGTAACGACGGTAATTAAAAACATTGCGAATCGCGTTATCTGCGGTGTTTCGATGGAATACTGCTGGGAATACTGTTGTATGGTTCTCTCGTTGTGTCTAACTTTCGAGAAGGAATCGTTAGATTAGCTGTGGCTCGTGAACGCGGCGAAATATCCTTTTAATAATACTGTTTCATACGCGAATGTCTGCTGCGTGAGTTTTCCTTAAATACTGACAGTAATATTTCGATAGCGCTAAAAGAACGGCTAAAACGTGAATTACGTTAATGGAAAAAGATCCCGTTGGAAAGATCTATTATTACCGATTGTACTAGTAAAATTACACATCACATGATTATTAATTGATCGCGACTTAATTTTTAACGTTTAATCCTTTCACTTACGTCGTCAATGATCTCACGCTTAGAATGTAAATTCGACTAATTTATAATGTATCGTCCATAACTCGATACGAATAGAGATACGAATGAAAAAGTTTGCTAATTCCGCGTTTTTTTTTTGTCATCTTGCCGCCTTGAACGAACGACTCGTTACGAGAATACTCCTAAAAACTACGGTAAAAGATCTACCGAAGAAACGTCGACGTTGTTCCTATTCCTTCGCAAACTCCATCCTCCTCCTCATCGCGTATAATTATTTGCAGCGTATCGCTAAACTCTTGTCTGTCTAGTAGTACTCGTCGAGCAACGAAATTTACGAGTGCACCTGTTTTTCCCGTATTTTTCTTTTTGTAGATTCAGCTTATCACAGTCGGAGCTTAAATATTAAGTACATGCGCGTGCATTCGTCGATCCCTCTGTCTTGATAAATTGTAAATGATCAGTTTTCGAAAACCCTTGGTCGAGTACTCCCTTTAAAGCTATCGTAGGTATCGATAATTAAGTGAGAATTGCGCATTTCAGCATCGTTATCTGTTTTTTACCGTTTTTCCTTTTCTGTAAAATATCTCATTTTTCCTCCACCTCATAGCCGAAGCTGCTGCGTCTCGTACTCGGGCGTGATCGTGCAAAGTAACAAAGTGGAACGTTCCGAAATTCTCGAGACGTCACATCCGCCTAGATCTCTTTTCGTGTTTCTTTTCGAAATCAATCGGAAGCGAGAGAGAAATTCGTCGATACGCTGCAAGCAGATGAGACTCGGGACGTACCGTTTCTCACGAAAGAATGAGACCTCCGATCTTCTCACCGGACGAAACGAAGAATAGTTAGAAGTTCGCTGACACCTACACGTTAAACTACGTTAATTTGGCTAATCGTTAGTATCCACCGCTATTCTCTCTCTCTCTCTTGCTCTTTCCGCTAATCTGGGAACACTGAGATACAGGGACTTATATACATACACTGTATACCTCGATCTCGCTAATATGCTATGATACAATCTATCTAATTTAGTGACCGTCTTGTCGCCTTGTCGGCGAATTTCGGCGTTATCAACGTAGATGCGACTCCGCTAGAAAAGAAGACAGTCGGTTCCCTCGTGAATATTCCGACGGCGATCGGAGAATCGTGTTCATTACTTTTGCCTACCATACGACGCGCACGAATGTACACCATTCGCCTCATCCGTTCCTTTACCGAATAAAGCGCATGATCTGAAAATCCTCAAGTTCGCTTAACTTACTCGCACGACGAGAGGCCTTCGACGGCTCGATTGTCGCGCGCGTGTCATCACACATACAGCGATTTTGACGAGCGACGATTAGTCGATTAATTAGACCGATCATTGTCCCGCGTGTGAGAGTCAGTGGAGTCTCTTCATTCTCAGGGTGATGATTTCGAATAATGAGCCGGACGCGGATGCTGAACTCGTACATATCTAGAATACGGTCTAACTAAGTGTACTGCTGCTTGCGAGTGTCGATGACGGTGTGTACGTGGTTGTATGTAAACGTGTGTGTCTGGTGGTGTAGCACAATGATGTACATAGGACAGCACCATGCAGGAGAAAGATTTCGTCCAGAAGCCGGAAACTACAATGTCACTGTTCGCATGTCGCTCTTGATTCGACGGCTACGCGTGCTTTCGAAAATTCTTTTTCACTCTTCGCGCGATATGGAAAACGATGGGAGAAGATACACCGATATGCAGTAAGAGATCGAATTGTTGTAGAAAATTTTACGTGCTGCATTTATACGGCTCGTTTCTACGTAATCAATACAAGGCAATTTGATTGTCACATATTTCATTTAGTTCTCATGGAGTAATAAGTCTGATCGGCCGCGAGAAAGTTTGTTCTCGCAAACAGCGATATCGTCGTCGAACTAACAGCGACATAATAGTGCCTCAGTGAGTGTCCACGTGCTGAAAAGATCAAAGTTTCGAGTGATAGCAGTAACAGTAGAATTATAGTAACAGTGGTAGAATAGTAATAGTAGTAGTAGTAGTAGAGTAGGCCGTTCGAAGTAGATGGCGAAGGGGAAGACGACGACAGGCAGTAGCATAACGATAGTTCGATGATTAGTTTGAGCTGGAAGAGAAGTCGTCAGGAGAAGAGAAATCGAAGTGAATCTAAAAGAAATAAACGAAAGTCAGTGAGACGAATAGAAAACGTCGATCTCTCGATTAGGAAAAATCATTCCTAAATCAATTACACCGTTAGTTGAAGTATGCACAATCGAAGTCTAGGAGTCTCTAATCACTTCGCTGAATCAAATCTAAATCAAATCTACTCGCGACACAATCGAATTGGTGCGGTGTTTGCGGGAAGAAAAGAAAAAAATGAACATACTACTCGATCGCAAACGGGGAGAAAATTATATTCAACGGAACTCCATTGGAAATCGAATCTATCTGTACTAACACATACATTATCGCTACAGTTGTCAACGGAGATCGCGATTGCAAGTATCACAGCAACGTGAGGCATCTCCCCTTAGTATACACAAGCCACATCGAGAAGAAGGACGCACTGTGGAAAGTCTTAGATGGTAGAAGAGGATAGGGTTACAGTACATTTATATATATACATTGAGATAAGAGTGTATATATATAGCATGTATATAGTATACAGACAGATGTAGAGCTACATAGATATACGGATCGCTAGAGGTATAAGTAGAACATGATATATGGAATACGAAATTATAGAGTGCCACTAGACTTAATTATGCAGCTATGGTTGTCGACAATACAAAACGTTAGTACGGTAATGGTCAAGCTCGCCAGAGATAAACGCGACGTCCACCCCGACAATTCTACCTCCCTCGATTCGTTTGCTCCGCGAATGAAATGCGAGTCTCATCGATATATTTCATTCACACCATTTTCACCTGAAGACGGCAATGAATTTTTCGTTGTTCCTTTTGGAGCAGCGAGATTTAAAAACTGCTCCGACTACCGATTGCTGATTAATTAGGATCCTAAGAGCGTTTTTCTAGCGACTTCGACATCGAGATAAGATTAACGATCGGTTCTCGATTCGACATGTCCGATTTCGGTTGGAATCCAATTGCGAGGGATGCGAATGGACCTCGAGAGTGATCTCTGGCGTAATCGGAAGTGTGTGTGTATATAGATATAGATATATATATATATATATATATTTGTATATATATATATATATATATATATACCTGATAGGCAAATGTTCGTGCTACTGGAGCAAAATAATCGCACGGCTTCCGATCGCGCTCGCAATCTCGACGCACGCAACGACCGACGCTCGGATCGATCGATCGGCGGAGACATTACCAACGCATATACAAATTTACTCTGTGGATCGACTCGATCCGTTCTCTCCTCTTTCTTTCTCTCTTTAACACCACATAAACGCCTCTCTTTCGTTTCCCTATTCATTTTCTTTTCTATCTCTTTCTATCTTTCCTCCTTCGTCATTTTACCTCGCGCACTCTTCCTCGAATTCTAAAAAGGTAATGACGTTGATCCCATAGAATACGTGTTTTAAACATCTAGGCACAATTCCTAATGATTGTTTTGGGCGAGCTTGTGCGCAAGAAAATCCTCCTCCTTTACTTCCGAACGGCGGAACTTCGTTTCTCGATCTTTGGACGCGCCAAGGTGCTCTTCTCCGTTCTAAGACAATGTCTATACCGATTTTTTTTTTTGTTAACGGAAACGTATAATGACAGATAATTTTCTAACAAACACATTATCGTATATGTGAAAAATACGAATCATTAATCTTTCTCATTTCTTTTCTAATTCAAATTTTATACATACTATTTGACATTAGGTATTTTGATTTCAGTTTCATTTTGAACATATTATTTACTCAAACGATTGTAAAAGTAATTATGCACTTTCCTCGCATCATTCTGACAACGAAGATTCTTCGGACGCGTCGAAAGATACGAAACACCAAGTTTCGATCACCCTTTCTTCCTGTGTAGATCGTTGGTTAATGATCGTCGCGTGTGTGAATCGCGATTGTCGCGCACCACGTCGTTTGATCCACATCAACGCGACGTTCGGGCAGAACAATGAGGTGAAATTAAAAAAAACTAGAAGAACATGAAACAGAGAGCGGGGACATGAGCGGGGAGGAAGTGTGAGGATCGCGCGTACAAGGAACGATACAAAGTTGCCGCGTGCACATTACGAATAAGAAAGGAAACAATATCGATCGCACTTGGAATTAAATCGACTCGAAGTTCTTCTAGTCACCCTTATGAATCGCGCGACATGGGAAAAGGGCACGGAGGTTAGGGCAGGGAGCGAAAGATGGTAGCTGGAGACACAGAAAGAACACAAAAAACGGGTAGGTTTATTTTTTTTCTTCTTTCAATCGTTTTCTTGACAAATCGAATTAATATACGTACGTACGTGTACTTTCGTCCCGCTCGCTCGCGAAGTCTTTTTATTCTCGCTTCGACATTCGGTGATATTGAGGGATGATCTGAGAGGGAATGAAAAAAAAAACAAGTTGTTGGAGGGAAGGGGAAACACAGGGAAGTTTGATGGTGACAGAGAAAACGGTACAGAGATTCGCAATGCCAAGTACAGAGTCGAGAAAGTGTACAGCAGGAGTGTGGGGTTGGATGCGGGGTAATTATTTCGATTAAAAAATCATTTCATTAAAACGAGATAAAATAAAGAACAGGCAAGGACATCGATTACTTACGAGCCGCACATAAAACGCATCGACGATTATAGTAAGAGCAAACAGTGGTCGGAGCGGCAATAGTAGCACTCATAGTAGTAGAGAGTAATACAGTAGTAGAGTAATATAATAATGATAAGAATAGAAGTAGTACAAAGCATACGATGTATATATATATATATATAATATGCATACATACATATATAGAGAGAGTATGTGAGAAAGATTTAAGAGAGATAGAAATATGTAGATGATGAAGAGATAGATAGATAGATAGATAGATAGATAGATAGAGAGAGAGAGAGAGAGAGAGAGAGAGAGTGAAGACGTAGCATATAGTGACAGAGACAGAGCTAAATGTAGAGAATCGTGACGATCTGCATTGCTCCGCCATTAATCTTGTGTGTTCAATTCCCTTACTTCATTCTTCCCAATCTGATTTTCAATTGTTCGAACTTTACTGTCATCATTTGAAACTGAAACAAGCAATGCGAATCGTCGTATCTTCCTGAAAAGAGAAAGGAAGAAGAAGAAGAAGAAGAAGAAGTAGAAGAAGACGAAGGAAAGAGTAAAATGATAGTAGAAAGTAGCGAATAGTAGTGAATGATAATGAGAATAGTAATAGTAGAAGTAATAGTATAGTAATAGTATAGTGGTAGTAATAGTAGTTATCGTAACGGTAGATGAAAATAAAACGAACAGTGGTACCGCCATTCGAGAGTGGTGACTCGGAAAACTAAAATTAGAACGATTACACAAGAAAGTATCGATGAGGTTTAAAGTAATACAAATTAAAAAGTGCTTCTACCGAAAAGAGTAAAGTTTCTCTTCTTCGGCACGTAATTAAGCGCGTCATTAATGCTAAGATTAAAAAAAAAAAAAAGAAGAAATTAATTAAACATAAGAGTAAGATAATTATATAATAAGAGCAGATAATTAATAATAATTAGCGCTAGAGTAATAGTAAAGAACGCAATCGCAGTGGCGGTGATAATAACAACCGACGGCGATTAAGAGTATAAAAGTAAGATTAAAGTAAGTGATACGAGAGGCGGAGGGAGGGGGGAATAAACGCAAAACGATAGATCCAGCGGGAAGAAGTAGTGATAATGTGATAATACCGATAATACGTCAAAGTGGAGAACAGGACACTCGTAAGACGCTAATGCGTAAGACAGACCTGGAAGAAGCCGCGTAAACGTATAATCGAAATTTTCCGAGTGCGCTGTGATATGTGCGAAGAGTATTTGAAATAGTTTACGCAATGTTCCGCGCGCGCGAACATGCGTAACGTAAAAGGTAAGTGGGATCGCGCGTTGCACTATGAAAATGCTCGATGAGATTCGAGAGACGTATCACCGATTTACGTAACATCATGTTTACCTCGCCATGACAAGGAAAATTGCGCCAAGTTCTCGCGCGATATGTTCCGATCCACAAAATTCGAAAGCGAAGTGACAGAATTTCTCGCCGTACGAAGGTAAGAAGCGTCGCGCTAAAGATCAAACGGTACCGAAAGCGCGCCTCCAGATCTGTCGGTGGAAAATCGATGCGGAAAAGTACTTTCGTTTGTTAAAGAGGGTCCAAGAATCGAGGTATAAAAAGGTCGTGGGCGATAATATCAACGATATCGCGTCGGCATACAGGTGTGTGTTCTGTGTGAGCGTATGTCGCGCCAAGAAGGCACGTGGAAGATCGTCAATCGTACATGTTCACGTGTGAAAAATCATGTGTATATATACATACCTATATGTATAGTATAGGTATAGTACATCGTATTTATACATGAATACCTATATATACCTCGGGTGTGTATATGTAAATGGTAAATGCTAACGTGTGAATGTGCGCGCGTCTCTCACGTAAATGCTGATCGATAATAGAAAGGATCGTCTCGGCGATCCGAAAATCTCTCCTTCCCTTTTCTTTCTTACTCCTCCTCTGTTCTCCACGTAACTCCTGTTCCCGAATCTTTCCTTTTCTCCCTTCTACTTCCCTTTTTTCCCCTGGCTACGCGCTCGCGTCGCGCTACGCGATGCGCAACAAATGAAAGGATCGCTCGCGATCTCCGCTTTCAATCTACCGATCGACTAATTACCTAATTGAACTTACTAAGAAAGAGCTTAACCGTAAAACGCCCGCTCTGACAATGGTTCTCCGTTAGTTTTCTCGTAAAAAGAAAATTGTCTGCTTTGCCGGAGACGAGCTGATTGTGACTTGCAACGCAATTCCTGGCCCATATTTTGGTTTTCTCTCACGCATATATATATATTTTTTTCTTTTGCGTTTAAAGATTTGTCGATTTTTTTAGAGCGCGTCTCGCCGGCGATCGAAATCCTGATGACGTGTCTCGCGCGACTTCTCCATTTGTTGTTAACATGCTGGGTTATCGAAGCGTGCACAGAGATGCCGAAATTATTAAAATAATTCTGACTTTTTTTTACTTCTTGATAAATACCTAATATCATCAAATATAATATATTCTATAGGAAAAAGATTGTATCAACCTAATATTAATCTTATATTTCTATCAACGTTATTATGGAAACAATAAGATAATTAATAACTAATTTATAATGTTACTTCTATAAGCAATAATGCTAATTGTAACGTTACATGAAATTTATAATATTTGTCGAGAAAAAAATTAATGGAAATCTTGTAATCATTTTCACACTTTTGTGCATATGCTGGTCGAAAAATATCTCTCGAACGTCCTCGAGACCTCCTCATAGCGAATGATGACACGCGAGATCGTCACCGGATATCGATAAGACCAGAGAACGACGTCTGTGAGACGAGGGAAAGAAGGAAGGTAGACACAGAAAACCAAGGATCTTTCTGGGCATAGATTTCGGAAAGTGTGAGAGTCGAAAGTTGAGGGCACGTCACGATGGACACGAAGGTTTCTGCGAAAAGGTGAAAAATAGGCGGCAAGATCGCTGGAAAGGCTAAAGCGATATCGAAAGAATCATAAATTTAGCATATGTACAATCTGAGATTTTCCACAAGAACCTCGAATGCTCCGAAAGAAAGAAGAGAAATATCGAGAAGTCTCTACTCTAAGTTTTGTTTAATATTACTGGGGGCAAAATATTCTCTCGTTTATACATTCATCATGCAATTTTTATCAAGTTGATCAACGCGGCTGATAAAAAACTCAAGTAACGGTATAACAGTAAAGTATCGTCGAAACACTAGGTAAGAAAATGAATCGCGGACAAAGCGGTTCTCGAAGACGCAAAATTGTCTTTCCAACAGTTGTATGATCGTTTTGCGGGAGAAACGTTGATTTTTAGTTATCGATCTAGACACTTGCGGACAAATGAGACGCGACAACGACGCGAATCGGGGGACGAGTCAACAATTTTTAAGTCTTCTTCTTCTTTTCCACGTTATTTACACGTTACTGGCTTTGGAAAGCTCGCGAATTCACGCTAATCGTCCGCCAGTTCGGTGAAAAGTCTCTCGGAGAAGGAAAGTCCACGCGATCGGTGCGAGGGAAAGATTTACAATCGCAAGAGTACGAATGATCGAGGGAAGGAGGGGAACACGAAGAAAGGGGGTTCGGTGCGTGGCAGCTTATCACGGCTCAGAGATTCCCTTCGTCAATTGTCGATACAGAGAGTCGAGTGATTGTCATTTAACTATACACATTACTTAGTCTGGAGGCTTAATTAGAAAGGAGCTACTACACGATTCTAAGACGCTACTAACGTTTTATCTCGCTACTCTCCTCGTTACACGGTCGCGCTCTCGCAATCTCTTTCTTCTCCTCCTTCTCTCTTTATCTCTCTTCCTTTCTCTTCTCGACGCTTAGCTAATTCCTGAACAGCTTAACGACTACCGCTTAGTTAATTTCTACAACTCTTTCTCTCCCTCAGAGCTATGTCTCGCTAATGTGTCGTCTATCGAGAAGAAACAAACGCATCCTCCTACTTGCCTGAGCGAGATCGAATCTACTCGGTATCTTCATTTTCGCCATCGCGGATAAAAATCACGACCAGAACTTCGAGGAATTACGCTTCGTCAGATCATCTACGTTCGTTTCCCTTTCTCGCGACGCACAACGACATCGACACGTTTGCGACAGCGACGTGCTCTCTCGTTTCACGCTGTTTCCCTTTCGAGTAGAAATCCATCAAAAATCCGTCGTTTGAGACATAAAGAAGCCCGCTCGAGTGGCTTCTTTCCCTTTACTAGTGCGAAAATTTACGCGCTCTCGCGATGGGTCGAGGGTTTCGCGATTCTTAGGGCAATACCGTCTCCGTTCGTACGCCATTTTCTCGGGATCTAATACTAGCGTGATTCTCATGGAAGTAAGAGCAGGCAAGAAAAAAATCGCGGAGTCACTCAGCCAACAGGCACACCAACGAATAATCCGCAAACCCTAGCGATCTATGCTCGTCGAGACGTGTTGCGTTTGTTTCAGAGAAGAAATTTCGCGTGTGGTTCCTGTCCTGTTGTCGCATCAGTCGAGATAACGGCGGATTGGAGTGGCAAAAATACGAAACAGCGATCCAAGTTAAAGATGACCGCTGTTTTAGTCTCGAGATATATATTCGGTGAATTTGCTTTAGGACAACAGTGAAATCGGATTTTCGAGATGTCTGCGTTTTAGCGTTCTCAGAGTTTCTTTCGTGATCGTCTTGTTAACCTGACTGATTTGGCAGCGGTCGCTATCTCGACTTTTCCCGACATACGCGATCCGTACGAAACGCTCGGTTACAATCTGCTCTTTTACCGTCGACGACCTATCCCGAAGACCATGCGTATCTTTGTTACCGTCCGCACTTGGGAGACCCTGTGTGTGTCTTTT